CATTCCCAGAGGTCACACGGTTGCAGCCTGCAGCCTGTCCACTGCTGTGCAGTAGGAAATGACGCCAGCCTGGACACGGCAAACCCGAGCACCCAAGACATGACGGCCGCTGGCCAGGCTGAGACGGCCCTGCTCTGCCTTCATGCTTCTGTGCCATGTCTGCTCTGCGGGTCATCCAGAGCGTTTCTCCCCGTTTTTTATTCCCCGCCTCCTGTTCCCACTGTCCTCTCCTCCCGAGCCCTCTCGGGGACTCAGTGGGCAAATATAGCGTGTCTTTAGCGGGGGCTCTGGGCGGCCCCCCGCTGGGCTACATCAGTCTCGGAGACTGTGGGGCTGCTTTCGCCAGCAGAGCGGTCACGCCAGGATGCACCTCATTGGCCATGGGGGTGGGGGGGCAGTTGTATATCCACAGTGCACAGTGCATTTGCTGACGGGGCCGGGGGGGGGGGGGCGGGGAGGAGCACCTTATTTTGAAATCCCAAGCGTTCGGGTGTTTTCCCCCATTTTCTGGTTGTGCTTCATGTCCTTTCTCAAGGCGGACTGAGAGGATGGTGGGTCAGATTTCTGTCCTCTTGCTTTATAGGACTGTGTTTGGGGGCCCCATTGCTCTGGAAAAGGTGTGGCCCCGTGTTGCGGGCCAGTGGTGCTGTATGTGCCTGTATGTGTATACACACACACACACACATTCCCTCAGCAGGTGCCCTGGGAATAGCCAGGGTCTCCTCCCAATGGGGGAAGAGCCTTTTCCAGCAGGAAACCCGCCCCCTCCCGTAGCAGAGCAGGGTCCTCCCAGAGTTAGGGGCACTGGGGTTCGAGCCCACCCCGTGCACAGCAGCCCCGGGATGCAGCCACGGATGCTTCCAGAATTCCCGGGTCTGCAGTGCCGGAGTAGCCTCACAAAGTGACGCTTGTTGCCCAGCAGCGGCGTCTGCAGGGACAGCCACTGCCTCCTGGCGGGCTTCTGCAAGGTGCCAGGCTTCCGAGCCCAGTGGAGGGCACAGGCTCCCGGGCACATCTGAGCCTCGCCTCCGCTCCAGGCCAGAGGAGCTGGTGCCCTTAGTGTCACCATTAACAATCCCACCTGCTGCTGCTGCCTCTGAGACCTGCCTACCTGCCCCCAACAGAGACCACCAGCTCCCCCTCCTGAAACCTGAACCCCAGTAAAGAGAGCTGGAGAGGGTGGCTGCACAGAGAGCCCCAGGTCTGTCTGAGCCTGGCCAAGCACACGTCTATTTCCCCAAGCCCCTTTCCCTGGGGTGTGACAGAGTTTTACTGCTCCCAGCCAGGAATGTGTATGTGTGCTCTGTCCCCAGAGGTCCCCACTCCCCAGCACACACAGAGGTGCAAGGGCGTCTCACACACACACACACACGCTCATGCACACCCCACATGGACATATGCACACGCACACAAACGCTCACGCACACACACAGGTACACATGCACACACGTCGTGCACGCACACGCACGCGCACACACACACACACACACACACACACTACCCTTCTGGGCTTCTTTGTTCCACATGCCACCACCAGTGGGAAAGGACCTTCCGGGCACCAGGAGGGCACAGCCCCACACCTGACGGTCTGCGGCCCTCCGGGACCTGGAAGCAAATAAGCCTGAACCCCCTCACGGCCCTGAGATGCCCCAGGAGACTTTTTCAGGAAAATCCTAAATTTCCGTTAGGCGGTTGGTAGCCACGCAGCGGCAAGGCAAGGCAGCGCCTTTGTGCAGCGGGGCGCCCCGGGGAAGGGGGTCAGTCCGCGCGGCGGAGGGTCCCCTGGGGTCAGGTTTCAGCCAGATCCCCCACCCTCCGGGAAAGGGGGGGCCCCGGCCCTTCCCATCTCCTTCCCGGGCCTCCACTCCCCGCCCCCACCTGCCCCGCGTCCTCCCCCGGGGCGGGAAGGAAAGTGGGTAATAAGAAACCGGTTCGGTGTCAGCGGGAGATGCTCGGCGGCAGGGGGAGGGGGTGGGGGGCGGTCCCCTGAGCCGCCGGGGCCGGGGCGCGCAAACTCATTTTGTGCAAAGAGGGCCTCGTCCCCCCGGGAGCCGCGGGCTGGTGGCGGGCTGTCGTGCGCGCTGTCCATCACGCGGCGCGCGCGCCATCTGCTCGGGATTATGCGCTCAGTTGCCAGGCTACCTGCTGTCGCCGGTAACACTTGAGTGCCCGGCGCGGCGTCTGCAGCCGCGGCCTGATGAAGCCGTCTGCGAGCGGGCGGGGGGACGCGCGGCCGGCCGGGTCCAGGGCGCGCCCACACCGCCGCCCGCAGGCGCGCGGGGGAAGTGCGGGCGCGCCGGCGGCCCCCGCGCGCGCCCGGGGAAGGATGCTCGGGGCGGGCAGCGGCCCTGGTCCAGCGCCGGGCGGAGGACGCAGCTCGCTTCGCTTCCCGGGGCCCGAAGAGACCGGTTCGGGGCCCGAGCCCACCCCACCCCACCCCACCCCACTCCCCGCTTTAATTTCCGGGAGCAGAGCGAGGCGAGGCGCGAGGGGGAAAGAGACAGTATTAAGATTCAGGGCAGAAGACGAGGGAGGTCGCGGGCGCGGGGTGGGGTGGATGGAGAGCAAGGCAGTAATTAAAACTAAAAATACCGCGCCCGCCTTCCCGGCCGGCCCGGCCCGCGTAATTGCAGCCCCCGCGCGCGCGCGTGTCCGCAGACACGGGCGCCCTGTGCAGGCCCAGGCCGGCCCCAAGGTCCACGGGCGCACGCCCCCACCCGAGCCTCTGGCTGGCTGTCCGTCCCCTTGCCCCTCGAATGCAGCAACCGGGAGGTCCCGGGCATGGGGGTGCGGCTGGGGCACGGGCCCATAGGCCGCCCCTCTGAGCAGACTGGTCATGGAGGGGAGTCAGAGCATCCCAGGAAGTCGGCCCCCCACTCTCCTGCCTGCCCCCGCGCTCTCAAGGGCCTCTCCGGACTCAGAGGGTGTCATGGGCCAGCCTGGGCCCCTGAGCTCTGGGTTGGGGCACTGCCGGCCTCATGTTTGACCCCTGGGGAGGAGGAGGGGACCGGGCATTCCTGGGGAGAGCCAGGCGCCAGGCCTCCGGCTGAGTGCCACCAGGAGAGGCCTTTGGGGCCCCCAGCACTAGCTGGGAGCCCCCACACCCCCAGCAGCCCCAGTGATCCGGGCTGAAGGAGCAAGGCTTCATCTCCACCCCACAGCCCCTGCACAGGCAGGAGGGCTGGTGCCCGACAGCTGCGGTTCACTCCCAGGTTAAGGCCAAATCTCTTGGGGTGAGAATCAGCTGAATCCCTGGAGATGGGTGCCAGCACCCCGTGCCCTTAGGTACCCCACGCAGCTGGACACCCCAAGAAGGGAAGGCGGCCCTGGTCAGCGCTAGACCCAGGCCCTAAGTACCCGGTGTCATCCAGACACCTGGAGAAGGGAAGGCGGCCCGTCAGCAGGGCCGGGGGTGTGCTTCTTGTGCACAGTGGCTGCAGAGACGGTTCAGGAGCAAGGGGCTGGCCTTGCCTGTGGCCCGTCCCAGTTCTCCCTGGGGCTATGTGGGGCCCTCTGAGCACCCCTGGTGTGCCCCCTTGTCCAAAAGGAAACAAGGCGCCACTGCCCGTCTGGAGGGAGAGAGGAGGGCACTTGCCTGGTTTGAGCCCCTGGTGGGCTGTGGGGCCATCGCGCCTCGGACATTCCACAGCCCTCTGCTCTTGGCCTGTTCCAGAGAGGATCTGCAGAGACACCTGGGTCGGGCCGCAGCCGCCAGGCACCGGAGGCTGGCACAGAGCAGGGTCGGGCTGTGTCCCTCGTCTCCTGGGCCCTTGGCTCCTGGGCACGCCGCAGTGGGCTGCTCGAGGGCGCCCTCGCGTGTTTGCACCTGGAGGCGCAGGGGAAAGCCAGCGGGCGTGGCCACACCCCCCTCAGTCGAGGCGCAGCTGGGGCTGGGGTCTCAGACGGTTCCAGGAGATCAAGACCAGGGTCCATCGTGGCTCACCGCCGTGGTCAGCCGTGTGCTTTGGGAGGAAGCTGCCAGCATGTTCTGTAGCTGTAAACAATACATACATATATGCATACATGTCCATACACAAATCTATGTACATATACATGGGGTTATATATATATATATATATATATATATATATATATATATGGGGTCAGACCCATAATGCAACGGGTGGGGCACTGGCCTTGCATGTGGTCCACCCAGATCCAGTCCCCAGAACCCCATATGGCCCCCTGAGCCCTGCCAGGAGTGATCCCTGAGCACTGCCAGGTATCGCTCAAACCCCTCCTCCCAAATTTTTTCTAAATAATGTCAGAATATTCCCCTTTGTTTCTTCATGTTCTGTCTCATCATGGAACCCCAGGAAAATGTCTATCCACAGTCCCTTGTAAGGGACACCCACAACCCAGGTCATCAGCCCCTCTGTGCGCACTCTCTGTCTCTCTCTGTCTCTCTGTCTGTCTGTCTCTCTCTCTCACACACACACACACACCTTCATGCTGCCCTTATCAAACAGTCACTGTCACCGTCCTCCCGTTGTTCATCGATTTCCTTGAGCGGGCCCAGTAACGTCTCCATCGTGAGACTTGTTGTTACTGTGTTTGGCATATCGAATACATCACGGGTGGCTTGCCAGGCTCTGCCGTGCGGGCGAGATACTCTCAGTAGCTTGCCAGGCTCTCCGAGAGGGGCGGAGGAATCGAACTCGGGTCGGCCATGTTGGCTGCATGCAAGGCAAACGCCCTACCCGCTGAGCTATCGCTCCTGTCCCTTATCAAACAGTACATTTGTTGATTGATGTGTCCCAGCTGCCTTCCAGAATGTTCTCTCTGGCCAGCCGAGAAGTGGCAGGCGGTTAGGACAGGTGAGATCAGGCCATCCCTTCCAGACGGTTCCCAGCCTGAGGACATACTTACGCTCTGTCCTTTGAAGGGACCAGCCTGTGCGCGGACGCCCAGCCCTTGTCCTTGGACAGTCCCCGGGTGTGAGCCCCTGGGTGAGCACTGCCCCCGGCTAATGTCCTCTCTGCTCTCCCCCCCGCCCGCAGGAGCAGCACCCCATGGGGCTCCCCCGCACCGCCGGGCCCCTGCAGTCGTCCGTGCCCCCCGGCTCGGGCAGCCTGGGCTCAGGGGCCACGCCGGCGGGGGCCGGTTTCCTGGGCAGCCAGCCGCAGGCGGCCCTCATGAAGCAGATGCTCCTGGACCAGCGGGCGCAGCTGATGGAGCAGCAGCAGTTCCTGCGCGAGCAGAGGCAGCAGCAGCAGATCCTGGCTGAGCAGGTGGGCTGGGGGGCGGGCACCTCTCTCATCCACCCCCTTCCCTCCCTCCCGGGAACAGCGTCCTCTGCAGGGGTGCAGGGAGAGGGGCACCTCACTGGCCTCATCTGCTCCCAGGATGCCTGGCCTGAAGGGAAAAGTGAGAATGTTCCGGAGAATTTGTTTCTTGTCGGGGGACAGCCGGAGGGTGTGCAGACCCACAGAGCAGCCTGCGGTCCGGGGGGCTTCCGGGCCGCCCCGGGAAGCACCTGCAGCTCTTCGGAGCCAGCCCAGAGAGGGGGTTCGGGGGGTCCTGGCCTGTACGTGGCCCTGACTGCATTCCTGTGCGCTGGCAAGATGCTCCAGGCCTAAGGAATCCAGCTCCATGGCTCCCCTTCTAGAATGTTCTAACAGGAGTAGACAAGGGAGATCGACCCTACAGCCCAGGTAGACCAGGCTCTGTGTAGGGTCTGGGCACAGGAGGCCCGGCCAGCTGGACTATCACCCCTAAGTGCCCGAAAGATGAGCTGCCCATCCACCAGGTCAGGTCAGCCCACACACACACACACACACACACACACACACACACAAACATGCTCACACTCACACACAGAGAGACACACTCACACAGACATACATACACACATACACATACTCTCACACATACACACACACCACACACACACACACACACACACGCACACGCTCATACCCACCCATCATTCTTGCAGTCAAGAAGCCTCCTGAGCTTCTAGCACTGTCCCTCAGGTGACCAGGGAACAGGGACTGTAGGGGACACTCATTGGTCCAGGAGGCCAAGGGTGTGAGTTCCGTGACCTGTGGACCAAGGGACTGCAGAAGAAACTCATGGGGACAGAGCCTCTTCCAATGAGCAGGGAGAGTGCTCCCTGAGGGAGGTGGGTGGTGCTCCTTAGACATGGGTGGAGCTCCCTGAGGTGGGTGGTGCTCCTTAGACATGGATGGTGCTCCCTGAGGTGGGTGGTGCCCCTTAGGCTTGGGTGATGCTCCCTGAGGGAGGCGGGTGGTGCTCCTTAGACATGAATGGTGCTCCCTGAGGTGGATGGAGTTCCCTGGGGTGGGCAGGGCTCTCTCTCCCTCCTGGGTGAGCCTCACTCTCCCAGAAGAATCTCAGGGAACAAGAGGAATGCACAGGAAAGAGCAGGGGAACCCATCCCGGCTCCCACATCCCTCTGAGACTGGCCCAGCACGTTGAGATTAGACAGTTCTCGAGGGAAAAGATGAACCGTGTGACCTGGTGCCCTGAGAGCCCCAGGCAGGGCACTGTTGCTCAGTGGGGGGCTCGGGGCTTGGGCGAGAGAGTAGGGGGTCTCCCATGGGCCAGACCCTTGCCCCAACGGTCTTCTCCGACGAAAACTGTTTCTGGAGCAAGCCCCGTTGGGTGCTCCGTGTCTTCCATTCCTCCCAGGGGGACGATGATGCCCAAGCACTGAGGTGTGAACCCAGACGGGGCGCGGCGCGGGGCGGGGGTGGGGGGGCTCGCGTCCCGGGGGGCCCGCGGCAGCCCAGCCTGTCCTGTCGTTGCAGCAACAGCAGCAGCAGCAGCCGCCGCCGCAGCTGTCCCGGCAGCACGCGCAACAGCAGCAGCGGAGCCCGTACCCTGTGGCGCAGGTCGGCCAGTTCCAAGGTGAGACCGTCGGGGGGGTGTTCCCGGCACGCAGGGGCCCGGGGCGCAGGACTGGGGCAGCTGGTTCTCGTCACCGCACAGGAGCCCCCCGTGGGTGGGGTGGGGGCACTGTCCCCGCAGCAGAGCCCCGGGCCCACTCCCTCCGAGTGTCCCCGCGGACAGCGCCCGACCAGCTGGTCGCATCTGCACGTCCCCAGGGGTCCCGGGGATGCTCCCTCCCCTCCTGCCCTCTCCACTGGCCGAAGCCCCAAAGGAGAGGAAGTTGGCAGCATTCTGCATCCTTTCCATGGGAGATGGAGGCCGGCGGGGGCAGCCCCGGGGTCCTTGGCCCCGGCTGTGCTGACAGCAAGGGCCTCTGTCCGCGTGGGGGAGCTTGGCCGTGCCCCCCCAGCCCAGCCTGAGTCACCCAGATATTCCCAGGGAGCAGCAGGACCGGCTCAGAAATCCTCCTTCCCGCACCCCACTTCTCTCGGGGCCTGAGTTAATGCCGCACTTCCGGGACGATCAGCTGCTCTAAGAATCTGCCGGAATGGGCCGGTAGTGCAGGGGTGAAGGCACCGTTCCCCCCACCCCCAGCCCTGGTTTGATCTCCTGAGCACCAAGTACGGCCCAACACCCCCCACCCCACAAAGTAATCTGTGATGTAACACAATCTTAACATATCTATATAGTGATTAGATAAGTCGATTCTTTTTGAGTTTTTTTTTTAATAGCAGCTACACCCAGCATATTACTACTCAAGGGCCACCAGGCCCAGAACCTGGGGTGCCAGCAGGGCAGACTTTGGGGTCAGCCTGGAACATTCCAGCATGAGCTCCCCTCTTTGAGCTAACTCCCCCACCCCCACCCTGCATCTGACTTTTTGTCTCCTGTATATATATATATATATATTTTTTTTTTTTTGGCTTTTTGGGTCACACCTGGCGATGCACAGGGGCCACTCTTGGCTTCACACTCAGGAATCACTCCTGGCGGTGCTCAGGGGACCACATGGGATGCTGGGAATCGAACCCAGGTCGGCGGCGTGCAAGGCAAACGCCCTACCCGCTGTGCTGTCGCTCCAGCCCCTGTCTCCTGTATATTTTTATTCCCTGGAGGCTTGAAACAGCCTGAGTGTGAGAATAGGGCGCTGGTCCCAGAGCGTGGCCCGCCGCCCTGGCGGGGAAGGCAGGCTCCCTGGCAGTTGGGCCGTCTCTTTCCTGAAAGGCGCTGCCTGAGCCTGGCCTGAGGAGGCAGCAGCTCCACATTCCCGCCCTCAGCACCGCCCACGGCCTGTGCCCGCTACCCGCTGTCTCCAGCTTCTCTGCACGGCAGCCGTCTTCCCCTTAACTATTTTTTATAAACAACTCGATATTTCCCACTGGGATCAGCTCAGCCTTGGAGTCAATACAGATTTAGCCAGGAAGGTCACAGGACGCCAACATTAAGAGTTGCAGTAGATACTGTGTGTGTGTGTGTGTGTGTGTGTGTACTTATATGCTATATATGTGTGTATATGTACATATGCATGTATGTATGTGTATATGTGTATATGTGTGTATGTGTATATATATATACACTATATACACGGCCGACCTGACCGACCCAGGTTCGGTTCCTCCGCCCCTCTCAGAAAGCCCAGCAAGCTACTGAGAGTATCTCGCCCACACAGCAAAACCTGGCAAGCTCCCCGTGATGTATTCAATATGCCAAACACAGTAACAACAAGTCTCATGATGAAGATGTTACTGGGCCCACTCGAGCAAATCGATGAACAACGGGGGGACAGTGACAATGACAGTGACATATATACACACACACACGCAACATAGTAAATACAGCATATTTCATGGGTCTTACAGGTTTTTTGAGTGGGGTTTGGGCCACACCCAGTGATACTCGGGGCTTCTTCCTGGCTCTGTGCTCAGGAATCACTCCTGGCGGTTTCGGGAGACCATTTGGGGTACTGGGGATCAAATCAGAGTCGGCTGTGCGCACGGCAAGTGCCCTACCTGTTGTACTGTCACTTTGGCCCCAGCCATCCCGTGTTTAATTAGGGACACTGCTCTTTTTAATTGCTTATAGTTAAAATTTGGGGGCGAAGGGGGCATTTGTTTTTAAAGCCTTTCTGGGGCCCTCTGCCAAGTCCCTCTGGCGGGACCCTGAGTGACCTTCCCATTTCCTAATGCGTCGTGGACTTGATCATCAGCCTTAAAACTTAAGGCATATCAAAATTCTCTCTCGTCTCGTTTCTTCAAACGAAAGACACGCAGAGAGCCCCTGGCTGCCCAGAGGCTGGTCAGGAGCTGGACCACGGGGCCCCTCGCTCTTATCGTGTCTCCGCAGTCCCTGGGGGACCCAGTTCGCTCCTGATAGTGACCAGCTGTCAGTGTCCAAGAAATGCCTCTTGGTCATAGACACAGGCCTGGGCAGGGACACGGGGGATTGTTCTGGGGTCCTGGGCCTGGCCGGCTGGGATGCTAGCCACAAACAGGTAAAGGACTCACCGGAGCGAGCGTGTGGGCTGCTCTGCCATGGCCAGTTTTCCAGAGCATGGTTAAAGCGCTCACGGCTGACGCGGTCCTCAGGGAGATGACTCTGCCAGTCTCTGGGTCCTGCCCCCACCCCCACCCCTGACTCGGCAGAGCCCTCAGCACAGCCTCCACGGCCCTTATAGCCTAGGCACATGCCACCTTATTGCCCGAGTCGAGCGTTTTGCAGAGTGGGAAACAGTTTGCTCCTGAAACGCAAACAGGAGTGAGGCCAGGGCAGGACGTGGCCCCCAAAAGCCTGTGCATGGGAGGGTCCGGCACAAGGAAATACAAGGGATGTCTCTGAGCCGAGCGAGATCGGAAGATCGGACCCTTTTTGTCTACACTCCACCCTTTTCACCTCTACTGCCGTGACTTTCGGTGCTCTTAATACTTTCACGCGCACGTCATGCCAACACCGCAGCTGGGAGGACCCCGATCACCCCAGCTCAGTTCTGCAGTGGATCCCTCATTCCTGCTGGTGCTCACGGGTTGCTCTTTCTCCTTTGCTTTCTTTCCCTTTGTATGGGCATGACCGTAGAGTGAGAGTGTGGGTCTGTGTGTATGTGCGTGTGTCTGTCCCAGAAGATCCTTATTGACTTGGGGCTTAATTCCCTGGTGGTGGCACTCCCTGGCCCTTTAGGCGGGTGATTAATTTCCATCTTCGATGTTCCCCAGTTGGTGACAGTTTTACCCCCGAGGTGGAGGCAGGCGGGAGGCCTAGCTGCAGGACGGGTGGGGCCTGAGCCCGCGTGTCCTTGTGTCCCTGCAGGCTCTCCACAGGACATGGCGGCCAGGAGTCAGGCAGCAATGCAGACCATGCGCCCGGCGCGGCTGATGGCGCAGAACGCGGGCATGATGGCCATGGGGCCAGCGCAGAGCCCGGGGAGCCTGGCCGGCACGGCCGCACCATCGGACATGGGGCTCTACAGCTCGGCGCCCAGCGGCCAGCCGGGAATGTACAACCTGGGCACGGGCATGGCCCCGATGCTCCAGCACCCAAACCAAAGCGGCCTGGGCATGGCAGCGCACGGCCCGGCCCCGGGGCCCAGGCAGCCGGGCGCGGCGCAGGGCGCGGGCCTGGTCAGCGGCTTCGGACAGAACATGCTGGTCAACTCGGCGCTGGCCCCGGCCGCGCAGCAGCACGCGCAGATGAAGGGGCCCGTGGGCGCAGGCCTGGCCCGGCCGCAGGCACCCACGCGACTGCCCAGCATGATGGGCGCGGCTGCCCAGCAGGGCGCGTCGGGCTGGCCACAGCGGAGCCTGCAGGCCATGCCCGGCAGGACTAGCGGCGAGCTGGGCGCCTTCAACAACGGGGCCAGCTACCCACTGCCCGCCGGCCAGCCGCGGCTCGGCAAGCCGCCCTTCGCGGGCGCACTGGGCCCGGTAGTGGACGCCAGCACGGGCGCCGTGCGCACCCTCGCACCGGGGGCCGCGGGCCGCCAGATGATGCCCGGACTCCCCGCGCAGCCGGGCGGAGGCCAGGCGCGACCGCTGGTCCTGCCCGGCCTGAGTCAGGCCCTGCCCGCCTTCGGCCAGCCCCCGGCCCCGCAGCAACTGCCCACGGGGGGCTTCGCGGCGGCGGCAACAGGCGGCCCCACGCAGGACGCAGGCTACGGCTACGGCGGCGACGGCGCGGGGCCGCCCTTCCCCGGCCTCCCCGATGGGCCGGACCTCGTGGACTCCATCGTCAAGGGCGGTCCGGGGGACGAGTGGATGCAGGAGCTGGACGAGCTGTTCGGGAACCCCTAGTGCCCGGGGGTCCCCCAGAGCGGGAAGGAGGCTCCGCGCCCCCCGCGGTGGATTGAGCCGGACTGCAGGGGCGCCGCGCGCGCCCACCGGGCCCGCGCCTGGACCAGGAGCGCGCGGGGTGCGGCTACACTGGAAGAAGGATTGTGTGGCCCCGCCCGGAGGGTGGCCACAGGGGGACGCGCGGCCGGAGAGCCTGGACACGGCTCCGTCTGGCCCGAGCCGGCCGCCCCCCTACCCCCTACCCCGGGGAGAACACGGGGCCATCCCTGCCCCTGGCCGGCGCCTCCTCCTGGACCGACCGTCTGGGAGCCTCGTGGCGGCGCAAGGCTGAGTGGACGCAGGTACGGGCACCCCGGGATGTGGCCACCAGGTGTCGGCCGGACTCGGACTCGGGTGGCCACGAGCGGCCGGGGTAGCCCGCAGCGCGGAGCCCTCTGCCCGCAGGAAGGCCCACCCGAAGGCCTTCACGGGCGTCCACTGCTGCTGACCGTGAGCGCTGGGCAGTAGGCGCAGGCTCCCCTGGGGGTCGCTTGGAACCCACCGCGGCCTGCCGAAGACCACGCGAACGGGCCGTCCGCGGGGCGGGGCGCTGTCCCCTGCTGCCGCGAGGGTGAGTGACCAGCAGTGCCCGCGGCCCCTCCGCAAGGGGCTTCGACTCTGCCAGGCAGGAGGGAGACCCTGGGGAGTGCCTGGACTCCTCGGGACTCCTCACGTGCCGGGGAGTCCCGAGACCGGGGTGCTGGGCCGGAAGCAGGGGACAGAGGACAGGGGACAGGGCGCGGGCGGACACTGCCCCACCTGCTCGCTCCCACCCACGGAGGTTGCACACGCGCTCCGCCAGGGGGCAGTGCTGAGCCGGCGGGCTACCCAGGCCCGCAGGGACCAGGAAAACCAAAACACACACACACACACACACACACACACACACACACACACACACACACACAAACGCGAAACAAACGAGGGGGGCGGGGAGCCATGGAATACTTACTCGCCTTTTTCTGAAAGGTGCAGGAAACCAATCTGTAAGTAACGGTAGGAAACTGGAGGTGGGCCCCAGACGGGGTGGGGGGCTGAGACCGTGCAAGGCTTCCTCCAGCTGCTCAGCGCTGGGACCAACAAAATAGAGAGGCAGATTTTACTGAGGTCATTTTGTTTGGGTTTTGTTTATACAACGGTGCTGATGTATATGTAATGTCGAGGGGGAAAAAAAAAGTTATCTGTAAATAAGTTTTTACAATACTGCAGATTATTCACTGGGTCTACTATCTGTAAAAAAATAAATATATATATATATACATATAAATATATATATATATACTGTTTGTTTAAAATAGAGTATTTTTATTTCATCCCCTAAAGCATCCTCACGCGTGGTATGCACTTCAGGTGACCGCTGGCGGCTGTCCGCCTGGTGATCGCCCCAACTCCGTTCTCTTCCGGTTTTTCTAGCTTTCTGTTTTTACTTTGTACATGGAGCATTGCTTATTTCCTTTTAAGAAATGTACAGAACCGAAATGTAGAGATGAAGTGATGTTGACATACCACTTTTAAAGAAAACAAAAATGCAAAACAAATAAAAGATGCTGATCTGAGCCCCCCCGGGTGCAGTTTCTTTCAGGCTGGGCCTGTCCACAGCTTGCCAGCAGCTCACGGCACCTCCCAGCCCAGAGTTCTGGCGTCAAAGGCCGGAGCCATGTGGTAGCCGGGAGGGCACCTGCTTTGCACACGGCCAAACCGGGGTCGATCCCCAGCATCCCATGGGGTCGCCCAAGCCCACCGGGAGTGATTCCTGAGTGCGAAGCAGGAGTTAGCCCTGAGCACCGCCAAGACAATTCTGGTATCACCTAAACATGGAGCTGTGGAAATCCGCCCATTGCTCCGGGCCGTTTGAACCTGGTCCCTGCAAGGAAAACTTTCCAAGCTGAGGCAGTGGACAGCACAGTGGGTACCCACGGGGTCCACCAGGCTCAGTCCCCGACATCCAGTCCCCCAGACCACCAGGATCGACCCCTGAGCACTGCCAAGTGTGGCTCCATCACACACACACCCCAAAATCCAAACTTTCCGAACTTGCACTGCGGCGGAGGTTGCCTGGGCAGCGGGTGTCCTGCCGGGGGGCCCCCCTCACTGCAGGTGGGGACAGGCAAGGAGGTGACAGGGGCCGACTGGAGGGAAGGATGCTGTAACTTTACAAACAGAAACAAAGACCCAGGAACACATGTGGGGAAGGGAGTTAGCCGTCAGCCCCCACCGCTGTGGGTCACACGCTCACACACACACCGGACCGGCCGCGCCGTCACTGCCCTCCCGGCCCTCTGCAACAGGCAGCCCTGGGCCAGCGGGACCGTCGCCTGGCTCAGCCCCTTGCCCCTCTTTTTGCCCCGCACCTCCTGTTCTTCATGGGGAGCCGGTCACCTAACCCACAGAGGGTTCCCCCATTCCACAGCTGGGGAGGGCAGGGAGTGAGAGCACAGCGGGAGGGAGGGAGCCTTGCACAAGGCCGCCACCTCGGCACCCCTGCGCCCACCAGGAGTGATCCCTGAGCACCACCAGGAGTGATCCCTGCGCCCACCAGGAGTGATCCCTGCACCCACCAGGAGTGATCCCTGAGCACCACCAGGAGTGATCCCTGCGCCCACCAGGAGTGATCCCTGAGCACCACCAGGAGTGAATCCCTGCGCCCACCAGGAGTGATCCCTGAGCACCACCAGGAGTGAATCCCTGCGCCCACCAGGAGTGATCCCTGAGCACCACCAGGCGTGGCCCAACCGCCCCCCCCCACCAAAAAAATGACTCCATCCAACTAGAACCCTTTGTGAACCCCCCACCACCTTTCCCAAGTGGGAGCTGAACATAGTCCCAGGGACAGAACGGACCTCGAAACAAAGGCAGTCCTGGGGGGAGGGGCGAGGGGGAGGAAGGGGGAGGGATGTGCCTCCGGCCTCAGTCCCAAAAGGCCCCCCCAACCCCAGGGGAGTTGTCCACGATGGCGAGCTGGGGGAGAGTTGGGGCTGCCCACGGGCACCCCTAGCCCTGGAGGACACCCCGACCCAGCCTGGTTGCTCCCCAGATGTCAGGAGACAGGAAAGTGAGCCAGTGGGATGCTGGCATCAGCAGGGGGAAGGGGGAGCCCTGGCACCCCCCGGGGTCCTCGTCCATGAAGACCCAACACCCCCCCATCCTTTCTTCACACCATGTTGGAGGGGCCAGGCTGCCTGGAAGACCGTCTCCTGAGTGATTCCACAGGAAAGCAGGGAGCTTTCTGCAAGGGGGTGCAAAGGGGGGCTGACCCTGGAGGGGAGCTCACGAGGCCTCCGTGGGAAGGGGGCCCAGGGGCGGCCTGCCGAGACCTTCCTCCCTGCAGGGGGCAAAGGAACGGGGGTCCCAAACACCTGTATCTGTCCATGTTCAGGCCACCCCTCCCAACCCTGCATAGGGAAACAGGGAACACTTTTTTTTTTTTTGCTTTTTGGGTCACACCCAGCAATGCTCAGGGGTCACTCCCGGCTCTGCACTCAGGAATTACGCCTGGCAGTGCTTGGGGGACCATATGGGACACCAGGGATGGAAGCCAGGTCAGCCACGTGCAAGGCAAACGCCCCTACCTGCTGTGCTATCGGGGAGCACTTTTTTAAAAGAAGTGTAAATTGTAGGGACCAGAGGGACTGCACAGTGGGTAGGATGCTTGCCTTGCCCACAGCTGACCCAGGTTCGATCCCTGGCATCCCACATGGTAGCCCGAGAACCACCAGGAGCGACTCCTGTGTGCAGAGCCAGGAGTAACTGCCGAGTACCTCTGGGTGTGGCCCGCAAAGCAAGATTAAATTGTACAGTGATCACACCGCCTGCCTGCTAGGCTGAACGAGAAGCAGGCAGTGTTCGCTCCCGTGTGTATCTGTCTGTCATTATCTGTCTCAACATTTTTTTAATTTTATTTTAGGGGTTTTTTTCTTGTACACGTCTTTAGGCTCTTTGAGGGGTCCCTGGGATGCCGGTTCAGAGGGCATGAGGCCATGAGTCCCAGCCCGCCACCACCCACCCGTGCCCCAGGGCCTCTGACCCCATCACGGGGCATTCTCCAGCATGGAACCCACCCTCCATGGGGAGTCCCGTGATTGTGGGGTGTGACCCTGGAGACCTCAATGTAGCACTGCAACACTGTCCTCCAGTCGTCCATCCATTTGCTCCAGCGGGCACCAGTAACATCTCCATCGAGAGACTTGTTGTCACTGTTTTTGGCATATCGAATCTGTCACGGGGAGCTTGCCAGGCTCTGCTGCCTGGACGGGATAATGTCGGTAGCTTGCCGGGCTCTCCAAGAGGGATGGAGGAATCGAACCCAGGTCGGCCGCATGCAAGGCAAATGCCCTACCCGCTGTGCTATTGCTCCGGCCCTCAATAAAGAGACCTCAATAAAGTAGCGAAAAGGAAGGCAGCAGGAACACCCTCCTCACAGAGACACACCCCTCGAGCCCTTCTTTCCACTGCACTGCCTTTTTACGGTAGTGAGTCTAGTATCCAAAAATAAAATCAATTTATGTGTCTATCAGACTGTCCTACACAGAGATCAAACAGCTCAGAAACTCGCATTCTTCTGGCCAGCATGGTCCACACACCCACAGCCACGAAGGTCCCAGGGTGCCTTGGTGACAAGGGGGTTAAAATCCGGAAGATGAAGACGCGGGCGTCTACCATTGCCAGTGGACCCTCTGCCTGCCCGAAAGGGCCAGTTGCCAAAGCCTCCCTGGGATGTGCACAGAGTGGTCACTCGGCTGCATGCGGATGGGCTCTGGAACCGGGCCAGCCCGAGGGCCACAGGGCCAGCCCTGGAACTGGGGGACAGCAGAGTGACCGCTGGCTCCTCTCACCGAGCCAAGGGGCACGCACAGGAACGGGGCAGCATCCCCAGTGCTCCAGGAGCCCCTGACTTGCATCAAAGAAGGGGGCGCAAGGGGGACACCCTGCAGTGCCCACAGCACCTACGTGCTGCTTCCTGGGGCCTGGCTACTTGAACAGGCGGTGGGGCA